CTGGCCAAGAACTGTTTCAGAGCGGGTCGTTCTTTGTTCATTCTAATAACATGAGCAGTCCTTTTAATTATTTGGATTTTTATGTATTTGATGACATCGGGTTTTTTGAATTCACGATAAATTTGAGCATCTTAGCATCAACTTGTATTCCCCCCAAAATAGCTCTTAGTGTGAGCTACTTAAAGAATCCAAAAACATTTTAATATTTTTGTGTCATTTTTCAAGTTTTTGATANATATAAAAAAAGCAGGGGGGGGGGTGAATGGCATGGAAATAATAGATAAAAAAAGATTTAAAAAAAAAAAAAACACATCTAGATAAGAAGAAAACATAGACAAGAAGACAACAGAGATAAGAAGAAAAGTTTAGAAAATTTATTTTTGACAAAGCCAAATTTGCTGAAAAATGTATTGCTAATGCTGCGTATATCATTATGTTTAGTTTAAAAGCACTTACCCTGACTTTTTCCTAAAATTTTAAATTTTACTTTTTCCCTGAAATTTTTAAAAGGTGAGTGTGAATACAAGTGAATGTAAACCTTTTTTTTAAAAAATATATTTAATATTACGAATGATAAACTTCTTCTTTAGTGGCACGACAGGTTCTTCGTGTCTCTCTATTTTTAGCTACGGTTTTCGAATTAATCGTTCTTAAAATGGAGATCTTTTTCTAGGCAGTCAAATTATCTGAGGTTGGGTTGGCCTCCAGCTCTTGTTCCAGAGAGCCTGGCCAAGAACTGTTTCAGAGCGGGTCGTTCTTTGTTCATTCTAATAACATGAGCAGTCCTTTTAATTATTTGGATTTTTATGTATTTGATGACATCGGGTTTTTTGAATTCACGATAAATTTGAGCGTCTTAGCATCAACTTGTATTCCCCCCAAAATAGCTCTTAGTGTGCGCTACTTAAAGAATCCAAAAACATTTTAATATTTTTGTGTCATTTTTCAAGTTTTTGATAAGTATGCGATTAGAGGAAATTTTGGGTTTACGACTACTAATGTTCAACTCCACAGCCATGTAATTTTGAACCAATCCAGAAGACAAGAAACACCTGAATCAGTACCCCCAGTAGTATGATTTCTTATGGGAATATGGAGGACTTTGTTACTCGACATATTTAACGTGCATCAGTCACCATTCCCCCGGTGGGGATCGAACCTATGACCTCTTGGACGTGGGCCCAGTACACCACCAACTAGGCTATCCCTGCCCCATTGTAAATTTACATGTACCAATTTGCAGATGGTTCTGTTATCTTAGGGCACTGTTTCTATTTAGTTTTTTCCTGGTTGACTGTAAGATGCATTTTACTTGACTCCTTTTCCGGGGCTAGAAAAACCTGTTTCAAATCAGCAGGTGTTCTTGCTATGATGTAAATATCATCGGCAACAGATTTTTACAATATATTTCCTCTAGGGGCCGGGATAGCCTGGTCGGTAGGACACTGGGCCCATGTCCAAGAGGTCGTGGGTTCGATCATCGATGGCCGAAGACTCCCCGTGGAGTAAATGGTGACTGATGCACGTTAAATCTGTAGAGTCTCAAAGTCCTCCATGCTCCCATAACAACTCAAAACCTCTGGGGGTACTGATTCAGAGTTTCCTTGTCTTCTGGATTGGTTCAAAATTACAAGGATACGGAGTTGAACATCAGTTGTCGTAAACCCATGAAATTGGATCGGCTGTTCAACGACGGTTATAAAATAAAATAAAATAAAATATATTTCCTCTAAGCAGCGATGGCTCAGGGAATAGAACATTCGTCTTCCAATGAGGCGGGCCGGAATCGAATCCCAGTCGATACGAATTCCGCATCCGGCTTGCACCGACCACAGAGTTGACATGAAATATCCTCACTGGTAGACGGATCATGGGTTAGAGTCCCCTTGCCGTCAGGCTAACTAGGGGAGGTTCTTGTATTCTTCCTCTCAATGTAACGCAAATGTGGGTTAGTTCCAGCANTCCTCCACGAAGGCAAATTTCTCCCAATACTCGATGCAGGAGTTCCCTTGTCTTCTGGATTGGGTTGAAAATGACAAGGCTACAGAGTTGAACATGGGTAGTCATAAACTTATAGTTTGACTGTTCAACGACGGTTATAAAATAAAATAAAACATATTTCCTCTTATTTTGATTTTTGAGTCACAAATGAGCTTTTCTAATCCTACGTTGAAAGGGTACAGCGCGCAAGTACATCTAGTTTCGCAGTGGACTGATCATTAAGACACGGTTCCCAGTAGAACACCGAAGTCAAGCATCACTGGCTGCGGTCAGTGTGCGGGTGGGTGACCACTTAAATCAGTCTACCAAGGATGGGTGGTATTGGTCCTCGTTAAACTGTTTTACCGTAAAGTGCTCAACTTCGCTCTCAGGTCGTTGGGCAATCGAAGCGGGGGGGGGGGGACATCCCCCCTGGAGCTGATCAATATAGTGCTGGTATGTCTTCGAATCATCCTCAGAGATGTTTCTCAGACCGTCGCCAATATTTTATTTTATTTTGTAACCGTCGTTGAACAGTCAAACCAATTTTCGGGTTTACGACTACTAATGTTCATCTACGTATCCTTGTAGTTTTGAACCCAATCCAGAAGACAAGGGAATTCCTGCATCGAGTATCAGAAGAAATTTGCTTTTGAGGGAGATTTTTCTGATGGAACTAACCCGCATTTGCTTTACATGGAGAGGAAGACCACGAGAGCCTCCCGTGGTAAACCTGACTGCAAGGGGACTCTAACCCATGATCCGTCTACCACGGAGGATATTTCACGTCAGCACTGCGGTAGGTGCAAGCCGGATGCGTAATTCGTATTGGCCAGTCATCTCTGGGATTCGAACCTGGTTCACCTCATTGGAAGGCGAACGCTCTATTCCCTGAGCCACCGCGGTTCACTGTCACCAATAGCCCAATGGGAAGCTCTAGTGCGACGTAAATAGAAACTACAACAAGTACATCTAACCTCATTTCCATTGGTTTAGAAAATTCGCCCTGAATTTCTACTCATTGCATGCTTTTATAGGTCTTTTCAGGGATATTCGATTCGAGCAAACATTCAAGGAGTCTATTTATGCTGCCATACATCTACAGAGAGTACTCTGTTTTTTTCTTCCAGAACCTGTTATATGTATATTTGGTGGTTGTAAATCTACCCCTTCTGAACTGAATCTTCAATAACGTCTATTAAACAATATGAAAAGAATTTCATAAGTAATATTAAGTCGAATAATTCCTCTGTAGTTAGCACATAAAAGGATGTGGATGATAATTCTACATAAAAATAGCACGAATATTTTAATAGACAGTGAGCTAAAAATTCTGCTAGTACGGTAATTTATGAGTTACAAAATTTCAAAAGAGTCGTGTATATTAATTTCAATTTCTCGAGGAATATTCAACCGATTTCGTTTAAATAATGTCATTTGAAATTACTTAATTTAAAATGATGCAAAACTTTATCTGCCTTGTGATTCAAAAAATGTTTGATTATTTTTGAAGGAAATAATAATTGTCTCTATATAATAAAAAAATTCTGTCGCCGTCACTGCTGTTGCTGTCGATCAAGCTTCTCAAGATAGATAGTGTATAGAACTATGTTTAATGTAGTTCTCAGTTCCGTATAGTTTCCCAACTTCAAAGATTTTAATATATATGACAATCAAGACAGAAACTAACGTACTTCCTTCTTCTATGACTCTCCACACGCTAAATGGTAAAAGCAGGCGAAATGTTGTCATAGGTAGAGAGTTCTGCTTTACGCCACCTGTAGTCCATTTCGATCGAAAATCTAGATTGATCTCTGAAGTATCTGCCTTTAATTTTATTTAAAAAAATGCAGGTTTTTTTTTTCTTCAAAGATCTTGACTTGATATTAAAATAACTGTAGTTAGCTTAATGATACACTGTTTTCCCTGAAGGTTTCAAGCTGATTTCCTGGGAAAGGATGCGATACTTTACTAGAAAGATCATTCATAAAATTATTTGAATTTTTTCAAAGTATGAAATGAATCATTGTTCTTCAACTACTGACTTTGACTTCTGGGAATTATTCCATATTTACATAGATCAGGGGGGGGGGATTACTGTCGAACCACGAATTGGAGAGTTCGTGTAGACATTTATTTTACTTCTCATAATGCTGGGGGGGAGGGGGGGGCAGAGAAGTTATAGACGATGCCATTTTTCATCTATGAAAAGGTACCCCATCATAGAATTGAGTTAACATGTCCCATATACTAGTGAATAGGAATTGTATTTTTGTAGTGGTAGATACACTACAGTATTTCCCCACCATAATTATATCTGTGATAGAATTCGATGAATTGATACTACTTGTTGATACATTGATGTTTTGTGCGAAACAGAGAGAGCTGTATTCAGATCACCGTACTCTTGCTGATCGTGAGAACTGTAATAAGATCAGGGTCGTGATTGCTCCTGTGTTGACATGAGCAGTCGTGTGTATGCAGGCCGAAGTAGTGTGTGATCGAGACTGAGTAGCAACAGCGCAGGTGGATAATGTCGCCGTCACAAGTAGCAAGTCAACTGTTCAATGTGAACCACCCATCGACATGAGCGTGTTCATATCGAGGTGGGAGTTTCTGTCAAGGTAGGCGTGTTCACTTCCGACCGGGTCACNTTTACCTTTAAATAAGAATTATTATTCAATTTATTTTGAGTTGATTGAAAAATAATTTTTTACAGTGTTCATATCGAGGTGGGAGTTTCTGTTAAGGCAGGCGTGTTCACTTCCGACCGGGTCACCAATATGAGGAGAGAAGTAATAGACAATGCCAACAAAGTTACCCCATCATAGAATTGAGTAAGCATGTCTTATATTCTAGTGACTAGGAATTGCATTTTTGTAGTGGTAAACACACTACAATGTCTTAAATTTGTTTCATTATTTCTCAAATGTATTCATATCTAAGTATTTTTCTTTCTCTTAAATTTAACAGTGAAAAAAATTACTTACGTAATTCCTTACGTAAAAAGAATAACTTACGTAATCCCTGCGGAGTGTTTTGAGGAGGGTTGAGACTGGACGTAGGTAATCAGATTCGAAATATTCCCCTTCTCCCGCCATGCTTCGACATTCTTCCAATAACTGTTTTCGAACAGACGGATAGGGCGTATACAGGGTGCCCAGATAGTTTTCCACCAACTTCTCTATTAAAGTATCTTCTCTCTAGAAAAGAAAAAAAAAGTATTGAAGATTACATAGAAATTATCACATTGCAAAGTTTATTCTGATATTTATTCCAGTTTTTTTTTTTTACTAGATTGGTCCATTTATAAATATAAATTTTTTTTTTTTTTTGAAATTCCAATTCGTATGAAAGTTATTGCAATTTTAAATGCCTTCGGCAAATTTTTTCGCTTTTTTTTTGCATTACATTTTGTTTTTGTTCCAATATGAGTCGGAAACGTAAAATTACGGAGTGAAGAAAAATTTAAGCAGTGCGATGAAATAAAGAAAAAAAACTTAGCGTTTGATAATTAGTGCGAGAATTATTACATTTGTAATTAAAAATAATACGTAAATTATCCGCGTAAATTAAATCCGCGCAACTGAAATGACAGAAGTACAGTAAGGGCCATTCTCATTTAGCAACATATCGGAAGTTTTTTTTTCTTTGGCATTTGAATTTGTTCGAAAGTTATTACCATTTTGTGGGGGTTTTTTTTTTCGCAAATTTTTATTTTAGTTACTTTTTATTAAATAATTAAAAAAAAATTTGCCACATAAAACTAAAATTCATTAAATTTATTTATTGAATTAATATTTGAAAAAACTGTATTAACATCAAGTTTAAAAGGAAATGTATTTGAACATTTGAGTGTATGAATAAAAAGTATTTTTATGAACGATTGAAAATTTTAACAATATATAGGTAGAGTGTGAACTAATACAGTAAAACTTGTGTAAGTTGACCACTTGTGGTGTATTGTTTTAGTGGTCAACTTAGACAAGTGGTCAACTTATAGAGGGGGTGGGTCATTGTTTACTTTTTCGTTTCCTATATCATGTTGCTATATATAAAAAAATTTTTCTTACTTGACTTAAAAATTTTATTCAGAAAATATGCAAAAAAATATCTTGAAATGCAAATGAATATCTCACAAAAGAGTTTGTGTTTAAACCTGAATGAACTTCAATTTGATGCATATAATTCTAATATTTAACTAATTTTTTTTAAAAAAATTATTTCGTTAGTCATGCATGTGAAGTGTTTAACACTAGATTGCCTAAGGAAGTCATTTTGACAGCTTTTAATTTCAATTAGAAAAACAATGATGTACACGATGACACAATTTCTTAGAATTTTGTGACTTTTTGAACAACATATAATTTTTTTTATTGTTAATATTTACGAATAACTTGTTACATAACTGTAAATAATATAAAAAATGTTAAAAATTAATTTTAAACAAATTTATTGGCGCATTCACAATCTAGTCATTTTGACTGCTTTTCGGCAATATAGGTATATACTAGTTTTCCGTCTTTCTAGTGTTAATAAATATAATTTCTTAAAATATCAGAACACGTAAACATGTAATTTGAAAACTTTAACAAAATATAATTATTTGAACACTTTAAAATTTATTTACTACACTTAAAGATCAAAGACCATAAATCAAAGACCATGGATCAAAGCATATTTCAGAGCATTCATTTATTCAAATGCTCGCTATTGCAACTGGAAGAGAAACTTTTCAACTAACACACCTGTTTTCAATGAACGGATGAAAGAAATGGTCAAAAGCTGGCCCCTTACAGTTTCCCCTGATGGCCAATTCACAAAAGAGTTTAGATTAGCTTTTTACACTATTTCACCAAACAAGTGAAATTTTAACATACGTTGCCAAAATGGCAGAAAATTTTCTGAATTTTTTTTTCTGGTCACCTTATGAGGGTTTTAGAATAGAATTTCATAATACTCCTAGATAAAATTGACTTATTTCAGTGGTCAACATACAAGANAAATCGAGGTTCGAGTTAGTGAGGTTCGACTGTATATATTTTTTAAAGTCAATTCCTTCTTAGATCAACAAAGAAAAATTTTTTTTAGTTACTTTTTATTAAATAATTACAACCTTTTTCTCTCACATAAAACTAAAATTAATTAATTGAGCTTAATGAGTGAATTAATATTGGAAAAAACTGTATTAACATCAAGTGTCATACACTACGAGTTTTAAAAAAAATGTATTTGAACTTTTGCGAACATAAAATAATTAAATATTTAAATGTACGCAATAAACTATTTTTTTTTGTTCAAATAGAGCTATAAGTTAGAAGTGATCACTGATGTAATCTTTAAAATATGTGAAAAAACTGAATCGCTTGTAGTAAAATTTAAAATAATGACTAACCCTTAACCCATCAGAAAATTCCATTTCGTTTTTCGCTCATCCCTTTTTTACGAATGGATTAATATTTAAAAAAAACTGTATTAACATCAAGTGTCACCCACTACAAGTTCAAAAAAAAAAACTATTTAAACTTGAGTGGATGAATAAAAAATATTTTACGAACGATTGAAAATTCAGACAAGATATAGAGAGAGAGTGTGAACTAATGAATTGAATAAAAAACAATACATTTGAAAGTTTTGTTTGTTGTCATTAGAACTCTTGCTTTCATATATATATATATTTTTTAGCAATCTGTTGTCTTAAATGCGTTTCCTTATGCGTGAAAGAAAGAGAGAAAGGAATTGCACGCAAACATGATAAAGCGTGACGCCACGTACAAAAAAAAAAAACTCATTATTAATTGACACGTTCCACAGGCTATTATGAAGCAGCAGAAAAAGTTTTACAATCGTGACTGTGTTTCCACCTGTTGATGCCAGATCGAAATCGTTTGAACTCTGATCTCTTTAATTTCGTATTTTAGAACAAAAAGAAAGTTCGGAATAAGAACTAACAAAAGTGTCTTTAACATGTCTTAATTTGTGAAGAAGTGCGCTTTATTAATGTTACAGAGACGGTTACAGTCATTTGAATGGCTAACCATCACACGTCGTAAAAATAGTCAAGTTTATGTTTCAGACTTTATTTTCTCGCTATTTTTTTCGGAAACATGCATCTAAATTATAATTTCATAATTGCAATTGTGGCATGATTCATATACAATTTCAGAAATACTTCTACATAATGCAACGACTACTTGAGTTACTACAAGAGCTGATTTACAAAATGTTAATCTTCCCAATGGAAATTTATTTTTCCGTTGTAAGTTGATTTACAATGGGAGAAAAAAGGATTTACCCAGAGTTTATTTACAATGGTACGAGAGTTGATTTTTTCTCAAAGAGTTGATTTACAATGGTACGAGAGTTGATTTTTCCAACAAGATTTGATTTACAATGGTACGAGAGTTAATTTTTCCAAAGATAGTTGATTTACACGACAAGACGAGAGTCGATTTGCAATAGGACGAGATTTGATATTTCAAAGAATAGTTGATTTTCAATTGCACAAAAAATTGATTTAAGAAAGTTTCTTTTTTCAAAGAAAGTTAATTTACAACGTGAATGAAAAAACGTGATGATTTGCTCGTTAAACTTCAATAGGCCGAAATCATCAAATAAAAATCGTTAACGCGTCAAAATTAATAAAGGTAAAACAAGCATTCCCACAATAGTCCGTTGTGGGCCAGGGAGCTCATGAGGGTTAATCCCCTACTTTTTCGTGACTAACGGCATAATTGTGGCAAATGCATTCTAGAAAAGCTGAAGAATTTTTGCTATTTTTCGATAATTTTTTTAAGTCAATTGGAGGTAAACCCTAAGAATGACCAACCTCCATTTTAATCAGGAACAGAGGAGGTTTCACTGTATATGAGAACAAAACTTCTAATGTAAAAAAACCTTTGGTATTAGTTTTTCAGAAGAAAAATAATCTAATACAAAACTTGCATTGTCTACAAATGCAAACTAAATGTTTCACTTGTGGCCAATTAAGTATTTACGAATATATCTAAAGTTTTGAAATCATCGCTTATTGATACTTAACAAAATATAAATGTGGTACGGCAAAGAGAGAACCAAGAAATTAATGATGATGTACTGATTAAAGGTTTTCTTTTTATTGATTCTGAATCGGCAACCCCAGAAACATTAACTGAATCAAATATTTTGGACAGCTTAAAAAATAAAAGCAATACAGCAATAAATTGTGAGGCAGATGAAGACGGAGAGGATGAAGAAATCACCAAACCTTCTTATATGATAAAATGTTTAAATCATTTGAAACAAATTCGTTAGTAGATAATAATTTACAAGATAAAGGTCAATCAATTGCTATTTTAATTATGTCTCATGAATTTAAAACCTGTTTTGTGTTGTTTAAGTATTTCAAATGGTGATTTTCTATTTAACGAATTTTCCATGTAACGAACTTTATATCGGGCTTTAGTGACTTCGTTAAATAGAGGTCTGACTGTATTAGTATTCTGGTGGTCGCTTGAAAAAGTGTGAGTTCTCGTAATATGCTTTCTATTGAGCTATAACTGAATATTTTTTTTTTTAAATTTCCCCTCATTTTTTCTGCATCCCTTTATAATAATAAAAATACATCGTGCGCTTATTTCTTTTAGTTCCTTATATTGGATCGAATTTCCAAACGGTGGTTTAATAAACTTTTCTACTCTGCCTGACATTATTTTCCTGTCAAGATAAAACACGCTGAATGATTTTACCTGGTATAAAGAAGAAAAATAAAAATAGAAGTTATTGTAAATCAAGCAAGCATGAAACAGCTGCAGACCAGATGTGTTGCGAACCTCCTTCAGAATTAAACAGAAATGTCCCGTGAGCCAGCTTTTTGTTTACCCAATGGTGTCATTTCGATCCAGAATATGAAACTTCTGAACAGTATTTTTTCTAGGGAAATCATAAAAGCTTGATGAGGGAAGGGAAAAATAACTTAAGTACAGTCGGATCTCTATTTAACGAAGTTGCTAAATCCAGAAAAAAAGTTCGCTATATGGAAAATTCGTTAAATAGAAAATCAGCATTTTAAATACTTAAATAACACAAAACGGGTTTTAAATTCATAAGACATAATTAAAATAGCAATTGATTGGCCTTTATCTTGCAAAATTATTATCTACTATTGAATTGTTTCAAATGATTTTATCATATGAAGGTTTGGTGATTTCTTCATCATTTCAGT